TACATTTAAATAATTCTTATTTTATTCTTCAGAATAATTTAGTGAAATATAAAGAATATTCTATACATTTATATTAACAATTAAGTTTAATTATTAATATTAACTCTTTTTAATTATATTTAATAATTTTTAACTATCCAAGTTACTTTAATAGTAAAATAACTATTCAAGTATAAAAAATTCTTTATATAAGAAATTTATCATTATTAACTATATATTATTATTTAAAATTTTTGTTAATAACTGTATTTAATCTATTCTAATATTGTTAATACTTTTTCAACATATATTTTGTAAATTTACAGAATCTTGTCGAAAAAGTGAATTTTGGCTCCATCTATTAGAAACGGGTAATACTTTAAAGCCCCTTCCACATGAAAACATCCCTGTATTGACTACGTCTACGCAACTCCTATTTTTACAAGGCTAGGCCTGAAAGGCCCAATACCGTCCTTGACCTAATGAGTTTTTCTCCATTTTCCTTTTCACAGATCCAATCATTAGAGTTTTCCAGCCTCTTTTCTTCCACTCTAAAATAACTAATTTCCAAAACCAACCCCTAACCCAAAATTAGGAAGGGACAATAGTATAAAAATATGAACCCTGTTGAAAACAGTCAGTCTTTTGATCAACTTTCTCTTAAAACTTAAATACTAAGTGTTTATTTTAATATTCAAACTTAAAAATACTTTAAGTGCAATTCACTATTACAAAGAAGGAAGCCAAGGTTCAGCTTTTCTACAAGTTCCTGACATCGCAATCCAGAATTTTGTTATTTTCTACAATAATACCGATTTTATAATAAAAGTAAGTGTCCTTTAAAAAAATTGCTATCTAACTATTCTAAAACTATTACTTGTCACTTCTCTCAATTCCAAGAATATTAATTAGTTAATCTGGTTAATGTATCTACAAAATTCCATTTTTAATTTTTTTTGTTTTACCAATAATATTTTTTCCCGCCTAAAAAACATTAATACGTTAATCGCGTTAATGATTCTTTTATTCCTAATTAACGAATCCTATATACAAATATCAATTTGAATCGTTCCTGAGTTAGTGGACGCAAGTCTAGACTCGAAAATTAATAATAAAAAGAATATTACTAAATATTCTTTAAAAATTTATACGAATGTTGCGTACCCGACGTAACAATTGACTGTTCCCGACATTTTCAATTTTGAAAATCTGATTTTAGATTCTTAAACAGCATCCCTGAAAACCCCCAAATAACGAGTTTTAGGCGAATCTAATCGATTTTTAGAAAAGTCGTCCGCCATATTGGATCCGCCATTTTAAATTTTGAAAAAGTGAATTCATATTCGTAATCAGCGACCCCAAAAACCCCCAAGTAACAAGTTTCAGGCGAATCTGAGCGATTTTTAGAAAAATCGTCCGCCATATTAGATCCGACATTTTGAATTTTGAAAAAGTGACGTCATATTCGTAATCAGCGACCCCAAAAATCCCCGAGTAACGAGTTTCATTAAGTTTTTTGAAAGCCATCGTCTAAAATGTTTATATGTTTGTATAATTTGTTTATAACAATTAAAAAATGGGTCTACAACACCATTTTACGATCCAGAGAACTATAGGTATATGTTAAAATACTTAGCGTTAAAAAAATACCCATATTTTCGAGATAATAATAAATATGTAAAAAAGTGCGTTTTTTTCAATTGTTTATACAAATTTAAATAATTATGCAAATTGAAAATCAAAAATCGGGCTCAAGCGATCTCTTAGAAATTTAATCAAGATTATTTAGAAAAAAGAAAATCTAAAATCGGTTAAGATTTGTAGACTTTAAGTTATTTTGAACCATACTTTTCAATTTCAAACCACTGTGCAGGCCGACAAGATTTATTTTTGAAGAATCAGACAATACTTTTCTGAAGGTTTTCCACGTGTTGAATCCTCAAAATAGATCCTGCACTTCAGATTTTCGAGATATCTTAACCTAAAAATGCAACAAACCTCTTTTAGTTATACAAATATTCGTAATCACCGACCCCTAAAACCCCCGAGAAGTCATTTTCAGATGTTTTAAATCAAGTTTTGAATATTGATGATGCATTTGCTATTTATCAAGTATTTTGCTCTGATTTTTCTGTCATTTTGGATCCGCTATCTTGAATTAAGTTGTTAAGTACACAGTTCGAAAGTACAACTACTTTATCCACCTATAGCATACATGAGACCCGCCAAAAAAATTCTTATTGATGTGAAAAGCGTGTTTCAAATAATCCTACGATTTTTTCGGTATTTTCTCCATTTTGGGCGCCATATTGGTTTCCCTGATTGTCGAAATGCTTTTTTGACCCCGGATTCTGAAAGAACGGACCTCAATACCCCCTAGTACCGAAGGGTTCTTACAAGTCTAATCATGTAGGATAAAAATTCTTACCTTGAAATTCAGTCAAAAATTTTGGACATTTGGGCGTTAATGGGATAATAAATTCAAAATTATCTAAGAACTCAGAAAAAACGGTAGCATGGTGGAATACGAACCCACGATCTTTCTATTGCCGGTAGACTGCTCTGACCATTGAGCTACAAGCACCCCGAGACTCTCCGAGTTCGTTGACGTATACTATCCCTTCCCACATTATTTAACCCCTTCGCAGTCAAGACCAAAATCTCATAAGTGGGATCAATATGGCGGACATGAAAATTAAACATCGACTGAATTCACTTGAAACTTTTTACTCAGGGGTTTTCAGGGTCGCTGATTACGAAACCGATTTCAGATTTTAAAAATTGAAAATGGCGGATCCAATATAGCGGACGAAATTTTCTAAAATTCATCGGATTTACTTAAAACTTTATACGCGGGGGTTTTCGGAATCGCTGATTACGAATCCGATTTCAGATTTTGAAAATTCAAAATAGCGGATCCAATTTGGTAAATGAAATTTTCTAAAATTTACCGGAATCATTTGAAACTCGCTGATTACCAAAAACTTTTGAAACGATAATAAATACAAAATTTCCCCCCGCAGTCAGCTGTTAAGTATACTACGTTACTTATGACCCCAGAGTTTACCACGTGGAGGTATGCGGTCGGATTTTATACTCCTTTATTTATTTTGTTTTTTTATAGGGTAAGGTCACCTTGAGTGGACCGCCTGAGCTTTTAAGTTATCTGACAGCGGAAACGTAAAATAAATAGTGCGAATAGCAGCACCGCACCTAGAAACCGTAAGAAATTAAGTTCTGCGAGAATCATAAACGTTATCGTTTGATGTAACGCATTTTTAAGAACAGAAACCAAAAATGAAGTTGCTCTTACAATGAGTAAAGTGATTCGGAAGTGTAAAAGTAGTGTAAAATTTAAGTTTTAAAAGGTAACTTATTTTTTTCCTACTGCTTTGGACATTCAAATTGATTGTCTTAGTTTAATTAAGTGATGATCTAAACTAAAGCTTGGAATAGAAACCTCCAATTAATTTGCTTTCATAAAGAATTATTTAGAAAAAAAGCTTAGGCGGTCCACTCAAGGTGACATTACCCTATATTTTTTGTTCTTATATTGGATCCGCCATTTTCAAAACCGATATTACATTTTTAATCTACGACATCAATAAATCCCAAGTAACAACTTTTAAGTAAATCTGATAAATTTTTTAAAATAGCGCCAGCCATATTCGAAACGCCACATTGTATTTAAAAAATCTTATGCTAGATTCGTAATCAGCGACCCCGAAAACCGCCGAGTAACAAGTTTCAAGTGAATCCGATGAATTTTTGAAATTTTCGTCTGCCATATTGGATCCGCCATTTTGATTTTTTTAAATCTGAAAACGGATTCGTAATCAGCGACCCCGAAAACCCTCGAGTATAAATTGGTGGACAAATCTGTGTGTATTGGTAGCCAAAAATCTGCTTGCGTCTATACACGTCATCGACAGTTTGAGCCTACCTGCACCACGACGTGTATATACTCGTCATGGACTGCTAAGGGGTTAATGATACTGCCTCGTATCCGACCATGCTACCGTTTTTTCTGAGTTCTTTGATAATTTTGAAATTATTAATTAATTTTGAAAATATTTTTCAGATTAAGCAAGATAGATTCATTTCCTTCAATTATAATTGCCTATGAATTGAAAAATTAGGCTTACCATCTTTAAGAAACTTTTTACATTATCATTAAATAATAATGTAGGACAGGATAGTATACGTCAAGGAATTCGGAGAGTCTCGGGGTGCATGTAGCTCAGTGTTTAGAGCAGTCTACCGGCAATAGAAAGGTCGTGGACTCGTATCCTACCATGCTACCGGTTTTTCTAAGTTCTTTGATAATTTTAAAATGATTAATTAATTACGAAAATATTTTTCAGTTTAAGCAGGTTACTGTATTAGGGCAGCTGTGCTGTCGATACATATGAAACCTATGAGCTTATCAAGAGATTTTATTTATTTGTGAGATTGATTTGGAAAAATTGTTAACTTCTTTCAACTTTAATATTAAATTACGGAATGATAAATTACTTTCCTTCAATAAAATTAATTATTTGTCCTAGACCGCCTACGGCGCTTTGACTTCCACTCGTGTTGCAAAAATTTTCGTAAACAAATGGCTGCCTTCGTTCCCATGTTGATTAATATAATATTATTATTTGTATCCAGGTTTAGAGAACTGATTGCCCTATTTGCCTTGTCTAAATTATTTTTTATTTTGGAGTGTTTATTGTTTTGGGGAATAGATTTTTGTTTGCGCGTTATTTTAAACTTTAAATATTAAGAAAATGTTAACAATTGTAAAGGGAATGCGAATATGCATTTGTATTAATAATGTTATTGGGTCAGTACAGGTGCTCAAAACATCTCAATCCTGTGTCAATGACAGCGCTGATTGTTACATGATAGATTATTAACAATTTCAATAAAGTCCCAAAACCTAGTAAAATATTTTCTATTAAATTGACGTAGAATACGCCTAAATTCTTAATTTATATCACAGAAATGTAAACAAATTATTTTCTTTCATAATTTAGTGTTTGGAAAGACATTACCTTGAATGACAGCCTTAGCAATTTGGAAAGAGCAAAACTTGCAGTGTGGGATTATCCGGTAAGCGACAAATATACAAAGATGTATGAGGCAATGAAAGAAGCAAGATTTCCGAAAACCCTTAAGGAAGCTGTAGACAGAGTAAGAAAGATTCATTCAACTAATGAATTTGCTTTGATCGGAGATGCAACTGACATTAAATACTTGACGCTTACGAATTGCGATTTAAAACAAGTTGGAGAGGAATTTTCAAGAAAACCTTACGCAATCGCCGTCCAACAAGGATCGCCATTGAAAGATCAATTTAACAATGCGTAAGTACTATCAATTTTAAAAGTTATATAAAAAGTCGACTTTAATAAAACTTTTTTTTCTGAAGAAATTAACTGCCATCTATAGTAAAAGTATTAGTATAAGGATGATTCAAAAACACAAGAGTTCTTAAATGTTCATTTTTTGACCTCCCAAATTTAATCCGAAATATAAGAAGTGGTAATCTACGCGGATAAGTCACAAAATATATTATTGTTGCAGAACTTTTATATTTTTCGCAAATTTTACAGCAACTAATGTGGAAAGTTTGCTTACATTGCAAACAAGTTCTTACATGCAAAAAGAGATGGCGCCAGTGTAATAAATAAACACAATGTTTTAACCCTAACCTCTGCTCACCCTGTCTACTCACTACTACTTTTGTGTCTGCATAAGTAGTCTATAAAAGTAAAAAACTAGGTCAATTCTTGTCATAGTAAACTGATTTCAATTTCATTAAAATCCATGTGCGTAACCTAGTACGTGAACTGCCCTTAAAATTTACCTAAATTTAACTATAACATATTTAAATTTTATTAAAATCCGTTAAATTGTTTCGGAAATATTCACATTTGAAAAAAATCTTATAAAAAAATTCAAAATGACGTAACTTTTACAATTTTGAAAATTTTTAAAAATCCTTTGGTACACTTATTTTTGTTATCAAATATAACAACTTCACTAAATTACAGAATAGTCCGAAGACCCCATGCAAATTGTAATTTTTCTGACGGAGTCTTACCCATCAACATTTTTATATTTTTGACCGTAAAGAAGAAGGGTATACAATAAGGCCGATTTTTGGGCCCAGGCCTCGCACATTTTTCATTACACTGATGTTGTAGGCATCAAGAACATTCAAAAACACACTATAAAAACCCTTTTACGTTGGGATAACTGAAACTTGTTACATGAGATGTTTATGGATCGCTGATCTTAAATCTGATATCAGTTATCAAAGATTCAAAATGGAGTATCCACAATAAATGAAAAAGTTTACACTTAATCGAATTTGTTTCAAACGTGTTAATGAGGAGTCTTTAGGATCTCGGAGCATAGAATTGATGAAATACTTCCATAAAAGTTTATAATAATTATAGCTAATTTATAGCTAAATTATAGCTAATTTTCAAATTAATTCTATTTCTCAATTACAATATTTCACCTTGGATTTTTAAAAAGTGGCCCACGAGTATTAAGTTTTCAGCAAATCTAAACGAGATTTAATTTTTTCGTCCGCCATTTTGAATTCGCCATCTTGGATTTTTAAAAACTGACGTCAGATTAGTGAGCACCGACCTTCAAAACCCTAGAATAACAAGTTTCATACAAGTGCTTTCGTTTTTGAATATTAAATAGTGTAAACTTATACTCCTCATATCGAAACGTTACTCTAACTTTGATCATGTATATGTATCACTTGTCCCAACATAAAATGATTTTTATTGGGTTTTAGAATGGTCTGGATGCCTACTACATCAATGCAATGAAAAAAGTGCGACGCCTGCACCCAAAAATCGTCTTTATTAACCCTCCTTCTTTACGGTCAAAAATACAAAAATTTTGATATCTTAAAGAAAGGATTTGATAGAATTTCAAATTTTACAGATTTTTAATCTATAAGCGACCTAGAAACACGTCCCACAACCCGATTTTGTGTCCATTTTCATTCCATTTCTTTCTCCTTAAAGACCACCGTGTGTAATAGAATGCAGGTGTACACTCCTAATGCAGAGCGATGATATCAGGTACTAAAGAAGAGATGCGTTCCAATTAAGCTGTTTTTGGGCCACGATAAAATCGGCTTATATTAGGAAAATTTTCATCTCTTTAGTATGCTTGATTTAATTAATTCATATCGATGGTAAATTACAGTGGTGAGACTCCATCGCTTGCGATCATCAAGGTTAAGGGACATCCAGTGCGGTTAGTACTTGGATGGGAGACCGCGTTTCGACTCTCGATATAGCCCGGTATTTTTCTCACTACTTTCGTAATTTATGAAGCTTGAGGTTTGACGTCAAAGTATAATGATGTGCACTGTCGATTATTGTCCAGCACACACCAATAGAACTCGGCTGTCGATAAACCGGTTGTACTCAGGAGAAGTACAACCGAGAAAACTCATTAGACGGTGGTCCAGGCAAATTCGAATACTATTAATTTCAAGACGTTCTGTAGACGCAAAACTTAGTAAATTAAGATGTAGCTTGTAAGAAAAATTTCTTCTGGGACACTTGTAACGCTGGTATTAACGCAAAAGACGAGTGTATAAATAAATAAAAAAATTAATTTAATTAATTTATATTTAATAATTTTTTACCGCGACTAACAAATTAATACGAACGTAACACAGCATTCATGGACCTTACTCTACTTAATAAGGATTGTATAAATTTTAAGTACCTATGTATGGTTTTAAATCCAGTAAGAAACTTATTAATATATTTTTCTATAGTTAGAGTGCTATAATACTATAATTAAGGAAAATGAGTTGTTAAAAGCGTCTTTATGCATGGTTTAAAAATTTTAGTTATTCTTTATCGACTTTAAATTATATAAATCTGTAATTAGATCTAAAATAAAAGTAAAATGTTAATGTTTGCAGGATATTAATCTTGCTGAACAAAAGGATTTTGGAAAAGTTAAAAGACAGATGGTGGAATCAGAAGATCGTAAAAAGAGACTGCACCAGAGAGAATAATAAAAATGAAGGCATCAGTATTCAAAATATCGGAGGAGTCTTTATTGTCATCTTCGTAGGTATTACCTTGGCCTGTATCACATTGTTGATTGAGTACGGTTACTATCGATGTTGCACTAAAGCAGGAAAAAAAACCAAACAAGTCACTGAAGCTGATCCGAAACTTAAGTCTTTCAAACCAGTAAAAACAATTGCTTTTACAGTTCGACCAGCTCCTACAAAGAATTTGGATATTGGACCTCGATTTAGATCTAAATTTTAATTTGAATTCATACGCAAATTTTACCTTTAGTATTCTACATATTATTTAAAATTTTAATTTCTTGCTAAACTATATTTTATTTGTTAATATTATTTTTTCTTACATCCATTCAAATATTATGATCCCTAATTTATAAAAACTTATCATTTATAGAATGAAATTTATCTTCTTCTCACACCAGGCTCCTGATAATGTTAGGTTTTATAAAAATGAACGCAAAATCTGTAAGTTGGGTTTTATTTGTATCTATTCAGAGAGTCAAAATCCGTTTAGAACAAAATCCTTGCTGATCGGGTTTGCTAGATATTCAAGTTTAACCATATCAGTACAAAATAAAGTTAACTTTTAAATATGTGCACGTCCACGTGAAAAGGGTCCATTCTGTTACCATTGGACTTATCTATATGGGCGGATTCCTTGCAAAATTTGAAAAATTTTGAGTAGTCATAGAACATTTTTGGTAAAAAATTCAATGAGTTACAGAATTTCGAAGTTTAGAATGCTGAAATGTCCGAAATGATAGAAATTTCCAACTTTTGCAAGGGACTGACAAAATGAGCCGTTTTCTTTTTTCTAAAGAACCAATGAAATCAATCTCTTAAATTAACGATAAATGAATAAAACCGCATGATTCGACTTGTCACAACATGTAGATTTATAATAAAAAAAAGATTATCCTCAAAAATTACAACATAGGTTTTGACGTATCGTAAAAGCCCTATTTGAGCATACATTTTGACGTAATGTAACAAACTGGTGAATCGATTCACAACATCTTTTTAATAAAATTTTGGAGTCGATATAAAATTAACATTTTTAAGATCGACTATAATTGTCAAAACTGAAAAAGAAGTAGTTGAATTCTCCTGACAATATATTTAAATTAAAGTTTGTTTACTTTGAAATTCAGGATTTTATGTGTTTGCATGTGCTACTATGTGTTACTTTTTTTTATGTTTGCATGTGTTTTATTCACAGAATAAAACTGTTTAATATATTAAAGGTTTACACTCTGAATAGACACAAATCAAACTCTACATACAAATTTTGCATTCATTTTTATGATCACTAAAATTCTCAGCAGCCTGGTGTGTTCTTTAATATTTCATTTTCATTACACAGCCACACAAAAAAAAATAAAAAGTTCTGATCTGGGGGTCTCACTATGTAGACTTTCTGTTTTTTGGGTCGCTGAATCTGAATCCGAGGTCTATTTAAGCCCATCAGATCAGGATTTTGACATAACCTCAAAAAACCAATATGGCGGACATGTTTTTGAAAAATTCATCGGATTAGCTTAAAACTCGTCACTCGGGGGTTTTTGGGGTCGCTGATTACGAATTTGAAGTCTGATTTCAAAAATTCAAAATGGCGGATCCAATATGGTGGACACGTTTTTAAAAAATTCATCGGATTCGCTTGAAACTCGTTACTCGGGGGTTTTTGGGTCGCTGGTTAAGAATTTTAAGTCAATTTCAAAAATTCAAAATGGTGCATCTAATAAATATGTTTTTTAAGGAATTAAGAACTTGAGTGATCCAATTCACCCGGAATCACTCTGTATCTTACGTGTGCCTGCATCCAGGGCACCAACGATGGGCAACGGAGTTTGTCCGCTATCCGGCTAAGTTGTTGGATGATGACGCCTGAGAGCCTGCTTTCTAACCCTCGACCGCTGATACTGGGGTTCCGAGTCCCTGCATCGTAGCACGTTTTCTACGTGTGTCTGTCATGACGGCATCAAAGCCATTACCCAGGGACTTAGCCGGATAGCGGAAAACTCCGTTGCCCACCGTCACCTCGTGGAGGTGCCCTGGATGCAGGCACACGTAAGATATAGAGTAATTCCTTGTGAATTGAATAACTCAAGTTCTTAATCCCTTTTAAGAACATATTTATTGAATGCACCATTTTGAATTTTTGATATTGACTTCAAATTCGTAATCAGCGACCCAAAAAACCCCTGAGTAACGAGTTTCAAGCGAATCCGATGAATTTTTCAAAAACATGTCCGCCATATTGAATGCACCATTTTGAATTTTTGAAATCTGACTTTAAATTCGTAATCAGCGACCCCAAAAACCCCCAAGTAACGAGTTTTAAGCTAACCCGATGAATTTTTTAAAAACGTGTCCGCCATATTGGATCCGCCATTTTGAATTTTTGAAATCAGACCTCAAATTCGTGATCAGCGACCCCAAAAACTCCCGAGTAACGAATTTCAAGCGAATCCGATAAACTTTTCAAAAACATGTCCGCCATATTGGTTTTTTGAGGTTATGTCAAAATCCTGATCTGATGGGGTTAGATGGACCTCGGATTCGGATTCAGCGACCCAAAAAACATAAAGTCTACATAGTGAGACCCCCAGATCAGAACTTTTTTTTTTTTTTTGTGTTGCTGTGTTATTCTTATATTTCACTCTTTTTTCAAAAACATCATGGTGTCCTATATTGTAACATGACCTATAAGAGAAAAAAATTTCAATCAATTTGATAAATATTTTGCATTTCAATCGAAGCAAAAAGTTAGACATTCAAGTGTAAAACGCAATTTAAAAGTCTAGTTCCAGAAAGGGTTTGACATAAGTAAAACTCACTCACCTTTGATTAGCATTAGGATAGTTATTCTGGAACCAGCCTATTAGATTCACATTTAGGCACGTAATTGTAATAATAAGTTAGTGTTACAAAAATAAGTAAAGCTTTTACTAATGCGTTTACAATTTTGTACTCATTTAAGAATTTATTATAAGTTAGTTACAAAAAGTCTAAAATAATATTACTTTTCTAAAAGTGCGCATCCTTTTCTATAATTTATGCTATTTTAAATTTTCAACATGAGAGAATATTATTAAACATAAAGAAAATACTTCATTTATTCAGAATAATGGGTTTTCGACAATATTTATTGCTTGCAAACAAACATTTAAATAGAGATTTTATGAATGCAGTTTACAATACAAATTAAAACTGTGAATAACTTCGAGTATATAAATGCTAAAAGTATCAGCTTATTTTAGGGTCTAATCTGAAGACTATTTCAATGTCGGTGATAAGTTTTTTCAGGAAAACTTCAAGACTCCTCAGCTAAATTTAGAATTGATTTCTATTGGATAAAACTTGGAATATCATTTGCAAAAAGTATTAAGGTACTACTACACTTTAGAAGGCTCTTAAAAGACCAAATTAAAAAAAATTTTCTTAGGTCTTTTATTATAAATATTTAAAAAACTTTTTTGCCTATATTAGTACATATTTGGAGAATAAAAATAATGGTTTGTTTTTAATTTTTATTTAATATTATAATCTGCAGACAGCATCCAGATCGAAACTCCAAAAAGTTAGCTGTCCAATTGCGGACAGTTTATCTCAAGATTGACAAATCGGAAACAAAAAATCCAAACTACTTTTTAAAAAGGAAGGTGTCTTGCATAGAATCAACCACTATTAATAAAAAATGGACTAAAATAAAAAAATAGCAGATGCTTCAATAATTTTTGTCAAAATACACTATGTTTTTCAGTATTTTTCTAGTCTGCAAAAATGTTTTTTTTAATTTGTTGACCATTTTCTGGTAAATTTTCACACAGGACATGCTAACAAACAAAACGAGTTATCATTTATTAAAATCGGTTCAGTAGATTCAGAGATAAACTGTCCGCAATTTGAGAAAACGTTATTTTGAGAAAAACGCGTTTAAACTTATATGTATCGTTAGAGGCCATCCATAAATTACCTAAAATTATTTTGCAAATTGAAACCCCACCATTTTTTTTATTTCTGACACTGTTACATACATTAGCACCAATATTTCTACTGGTCGTAACAAAAAGCTGGACCCCACCATCCCCTTAAAGACTTACTTAATTTGTCAATGACTTTTTACATTAATTGAATATTTTTTTTAAAATTTACTTTTATTTTTTACAATTGGTTATGAATACTTTAGGAGGTGTTTTCTGAAGTTATAAGGAGTTAAAAAATAAAATAAAAAAAAATAAAAATTTTTTAAATTCTAAAGTGTAGTAGTACCTTAACAATGGCTATAATAAAACTCTCAAAACTATTTAAAACCTCATAAAAATATTTTTCTTGTCATATTTGTGTATATTAATCTCAAACAATAAGAATATTCCTATTTGGTAAGTGCTGTTCTCTTATTTAATTATTATTTACAATATTTTTGGATCTCAACGAACGCATTTTGGAGTTGTTTTGTCACATGTATTAACATAATTGAAGATTTAGTAATATATTATATATTTCCGTTAAAATAATTTCGTAAATGCTGCTGCAATTTTCTGGAATTAAAAATAAACAATCATAAATTATACAATTTGCAAATTATTTGTACACTTCTTTACAAAAATTAAACTACTGGCAATAACAAAAATCGAACAAAAATAAGTACCGTCAACTGGGGCTATTTTGTGCACGCGAGTTTTTTAATGAAAAAAATTATTAAAATGAATTATTTCAATCTGCTATTTTGTAAAATGAAAGTTTGATTACATGACAATAGAGAGCACTAAATGTTATTATTTAATTCTTTGTCAATTAAGAGAAAAAAATTCCTAAAAACGGAAAATTTGTTTAAAAATTTTGAAAGTTCGGAAAAATTATACCAGATCTTCTAGAGTTTTAATGTGTCTCATAAACTGAGTTAGATATTTGTTGTCAATTGAGTTGAGATGATACATACGTAATGCGCTAACTTTTTATTCAGTATTTTAAGAGAAAAGTGGAAAAAACTGAAAAACCAGGATTCCATGGGGCTATTTTGTGCACTTATAAAAATCAAATATTTTTCATAAATGTTTTATTTAGTAAGTAAAGAAGATTCTGTTTATCATTTTTATACATTTTTGTCTTACTTTTCTGTCAAAAAACTGCAAATACGTTAATTAAAATCATTAAAACGATTAAAAGCTTAACCGGTGCGCAACGTAACCTCAAAAAATGAACATTAATTAATATTTATAAGTTTTTCAAATTAGTTTTAAAACTATTTTCTCGTTTCTCTTAAAATAACTTGAAAAGCATATTAGATATTAAATTGTTATCTATTTAACCTTAAAAATATTTATTTCAAGTTTTTTAAAAATATCATTCAAAACCATTAAAAAAGCTCCTATTGAAATGGTGTTTTAAAGTTATTTATAAGTGTTTAAACGATCATTATATATATATATATATATATATATATATATATATATATATATATATGGGTGATTCTCCAAAAACCGGTCACTTTTAAGTTGATAAAATTTTTTTTTTAATGTTTAAAAATTGAACTTTCTTTTATTAATTACTATTCATTGGTATTTAAATAAACTATATTTGAAGTAGGTACGCTACAAAACTATTTAAAGTTTAAAAATATTAAAATTATTTAAATTTCACCAGGATCATTTTGAATTTTTTCACGTCGCTCTTTTTCGACATTTGCTTTTTTCTGTTTGTTTAATTATTCTTTTATGTTATACAATCCATATCAACTATATTTATTTTAAATTACATTTATTAATAAACATTAGTTTTCGTATAATTAGCACTTTTCGCGTAATTGAAATGAGATGTGAAAAGTAAACATGAAAACTAACCTCATCAGAGGCGTATCATCGAGGGGCACTGAAATTCATATTTCTTCTATATAGGTATTATTAATTGAATTAAATGACTTATTTTTATTATTTTTAAAATTATATTTAAAAATATATGAAAAGATTAGAAAAATTTCAACTTTATTACCTATTTTAAAAAAAGTTTTAGGCACGGGCACACTTTTTACTTGTTTCGCACCTACCACGTGCAAATGTTTTGACACGACAAAGGACTCCACGACAATGGAAATTTGTACAAAATCCATTAATACACATTTTAAACAAAAGTAAATAAAAAAATGGCTAGGTATACACTTTTGTCCTACCAAACTGTAAGTTTTCATCCGTTTTTTATTGATATTTATATTAAAATATTAAAGTTATGACAGCGCACGACAAAGGAATGAATAAAAATACGCAGTGTTTTTCTAGTGTTTTTTCTTAAAAATATGAAAAATATAATTTATTTTCCAATTTCTCTTGGAGATTTGAAAAGTGACAT